CTGTCCTCTGGGTCACTTCCGCTTAAAATACAGTTCAACCAGAAATGATAGAGAAGTGTTTCAGGAAAATTGGTTCTGTACCAACCCGAGAGCTTAGTATTTTGGCCCCATTGGACAGTCCATCTCCCACAGCAGAATTCTCAGAAGTAGCTTTTGAAGGTTTTGTGGCCATGGATGCTGAGGTGACAACCTGTAATGAACCTGGCCCAGGAGCGATTGCCAAGTGATATTTACTGAAGTGCAGACCAGCATAAAAGTGCACGAAGCCGCTGAGGAACTGGAAGAAACAAGTGAGGGAGACACAGAAGCTGCAGAGACTCGAGCAGAAGAGGACGCTGGGCGCTGATAAGGCAGCTGGAGTCACCGCAGCAGGAAAGTGCCCAGCTGTGCTGGGTGGTGTGGCCAGTGCTGGGAGCGCTTTCTCCACTTACGTTTGTAATAAGAATAAGAAACAGACCCAGACTGGTTCTTTTTTCATAAAGCATGATTAAAACATAAGAAAACAGTAAATGTTGATTCTGTGTGATTTTACTATTTTGATAATATGATTTTATATGGTATTCTCTGGTAAAAGCTGCACAAGAAAGTAAAGCACATGTCTGCATCAGTACAGGAGGCCTCGTTCCTCATGGGGACACCTCCTGTAGTGACTGGTTGGATACTGTCCCTCGGCTGGTTAGCTCACAGAGAGACTCTGCTCCCTGTGTGATCCCAGTTACATATGTTGCTAACTCTGGTCTAGTCAGATTCAGAGATAGAAAGCAAAGCATTTCTTAGGTTACCACAGGTTGGGGGAGTGGCCAATGGGGAGTTAGAGTTTAATGGGCGCAGAGGTTGGGAAGACGGAACGTTCTGGAAATGGTGGTGATGGCTGTACAACAGTATGAGTGAATTTAATGCTTCTGAATTGTATATACTTAGAAAAGGTTAAAATGGTAAATTTTATGTCATGTATCTATATTTCAGTATATTTTTTAAAAACAAAGGGAAAAGCCTCTGTAAGGTGACCCCCCAAGTAACACACTGGTCAGCACATGGAGGTGGTCACCATAGGAACCAGGCCTGCAGTGCTGAGAAGCACAGTGGTGCATGTCCAGTCTGTGAACAGCAGATCAGCTTCAGGAGTGGTCAGTGTAGGGAGGTGGTTAGCTATGGAGGCGCTCATATATAAATTTTAAAATATTTATGGACATATGCCATTCATATATTGCTACTTTTCAAATTTTATGGCAAATACATATTTGAATGATAAGACTGTATGGTAAATGAGAACATTTTAATTTTTGATACTACTGTGAAAAGCACTATATTCTGGAATAAAGGTAAGTTTAAGTAAATTCTTGATTCATTAATCAGTTTAACTTTGTACCTTCATACACTTCTGCATATTATGTCTTAGGCCTTCCCCAGTGATAGTGAAGCTCTCATGATGGACAGGGCAGTTCAGTTTTCATCTAACAGCTCATTCCCGCCGTCATCACTCATTAGATTTCCGGGTCTCTGTTGTGGATTTGGGGGAGACTCCATATCACCTGCGATGGTTGTGTAACAGTTGTGTTGTCCCAGGCTATGTCTACCTGTGGACCCAAGAGGTTTTCTGGAAGGACTGAGGGAACAACCAGAAGCACCTGGCCATCCTCACATGCTCTCACTGTGGTCCGAGTGTGGTTACCATGATGGGAGTGTGGTCACTGTTCTCACAGTGTGGCTCCCTGGTGTGCTCACTGTAGTCAGAGTGTGGTTACCATGATTGGAGTGTGGTCACTGTTCTCAC